GGGGGCGGTTGGGAGGGCTTCGCAGCCACAGAGGGGCTAGTAATTTGTGTGGGTCGACAGCTACATTGAGTGCGCTTGCGCAGGCACGCAAAGGGGGGTCCAGATGCCAGAGGAGACTAGGATGGTGCACATTTTTTGCCATAGACACAATAGATCAGATCATGGCTGGCAGACCCCCATGCTGCCGCCAGGCAAGCCCTGCCTGCTTCCCCGCCCCGCCCCTGGCCCCACCTTGAAGGTGTCGTTGCGGACAAAGTGGCGCTGGTTGTAGTCATTCCTGAACTCCTGCAGCGAGGCTTCGATCTCGACCATGTCCAGGTTGGGGTTGATCTGCTGGCTGAAGATCTGCTCCATCTCATCAAAATCGCTGGGGATGAGTGAGAAAAGTCGTGGAAGGGGTTGAGAGAAGGGATCAGTGGTGAAGTGCATGCGTTTGCAGCGGAGTTTGTGGCGGAAGTTTGAGAGGCGCCGCACACATGCAAGCGCGCATTGCAGTGGGTGGACTCGTGTGATGGCCCCTCGTGCAGTAGGCACTCCGTTTCCGTGGCGCGGCCCGCCACCCAGCGGCGCGGCTGCAAAGCGGTCTCTGGCAAGCTTTCAGCCCTTCTCACGTAGTGTAGAACCGAGGCGTCAGCAGGGTCTCGTCAGCGGCGACCTTGACGCCATCTCGCATGGTCTGTTGTGTGGAGGTGGCGTCGCGTTCAGTTGACAGGCAGTCTGGGGGAGCGGCTCTAAAAGGGTGGGGCAGGAGCCTCCACGCCGCCGCTAATGCGCATTGCGCCGCGAACTGTGCACTTCCAGTGCAACCACAATCACATCACGACCCGCACCTTGAAGCCCATATCCTCGGGGGACTCGGCAGCGGCGGCGGCGCGGGCGCGCACGACACGGCCGCGGCTGATCACCGTCGGCCGTGCGGCCTTGGCGGCCACAGGCCTGGCGGTCTGCATGTGGCATCTCAAAGCAGCCATGATCCGTGTTGGATGGCAAACGTCCCTGAGCCACTTGTTTGAAGGTCGCGGGAGTGTGTCGCGAGCAACAGCAAGCTGTATGTGACGGCTGCTCTCTGCCCGCAAAACAATTGTTGTACAGCCAATTGTTTGGCGAATCAATGAGCGTGCGGGAGCAAAAAGATCTGCGTGAGGCTTGGGAGAAGAGGGGGCGAACTCTGCGTGTCGATGTCACGTCTCAAGCTGCCGAATCCTGACCGTCGTCTTCGAGGCTGCACCCCGTCTGCACGTCTCAGCATTTCGTGTATCCTAGCCTCTATGCCGGAACGCCCCATCCTACTGTCACAGCCAATCCCTGCCGATCTCGTGGCGATGCGGAAACACCGCAACACACATGGTGACTGGCCCTTTCAGTTGCTGCAGCGCTCCGCTGTGCCTGCGCGCAAGTGTCTCAGAGCGGCGTTTTGAACCAGGTGATGCAGTGCATAAAGATGTATCGCATGATGGACCAGGTATATAGGAGGCAGGCATCCCCCACACGCTTTGTGTTCCGCTGCTTGCCACAACTGCCGTGTGAGGAGGTTCTCTGGTGACGGCCAACCCCTGTACACGCCACCCTGCAAACAAGTAGTTGTTATCATTGCTTGCATGCTCACAAGTGTCAGCATGTATTACTTGCCACCTCTGCACTGTAGGGCGTGGCCGAGACAGCACCAAGTCTGAGACACCCATTGCGTGACTCGGATCCATGAAAGTTCGGTGTGCAGCTTGTAGATCAGCATGGACATGACACAAGGGTTTGAAGAGCATTGGTAGAGGGAAGAAGTATCCCCATTTGCAAGGGTGTCGCGAGAAACAGTGGAGCTTCCATACATTCATATGGACAGTGAGCGTGGTCATGCCGCGCCTGGAGAATTGGCTCGATGCACGTCTTTTGAGATTGCCTCAGCTGACGGTGCAGTGCATGGTGATTGAGCTTGGGGAGCTGAATAGCGCGCAAGGCGTGCAACGTTTGCTCAGGACATAGCAGGAACCCACGGCCTGTTTGTGATCATGGTAATGCCAGGCTTCGGCTGACGCAGCGGCCCTGCCTTGGCGCAGCAATATGATATATATGCAGCTGTCAGCAGCCTAATACAGGGGTAAACAGGCTGGAATCCACAGGCAAGGAGGGCCAACAGTGCCAGCCACACGGCCACAGCACACCAGCCAGCCACGCGGCGGCGGCGCTGAGCGTGCGCCACGGAGGCCTGCCAACTCTGGGCATTATATTCAGATGCAAGGGTGCTGCATGTGCGCACATGAAGGCAAAAGAAATGGAAATGTGCCGCGAGCCTCTCGCGCTGGACGACAGCCTACGGCTGGGTCTGCACAAGCTAGGCCAGTCAAGGAGAGGCTTGGGGCGCCCATTGCCACGCGCGCCGAGAGCAATTCGCGGCCCTTGGACGTTTGTGGCGCCAGGGCTCTGGGACACCAGCAGTGCCCCGGCTGCGCCGCTCACCCTGCACAGCGGCTGTCGCTGTCCGCATCCTCGAGCAGCTCACAGGGCGGCTCGCACAGGTTGGTGTTTTTGCCCGCGCCATCACAGAAGCTGCGAATGTTGAGGATTTGCACGAGGGGCGGGCTGGTCAGCGTGAGGGAGCTTGGGGTTGGAAGGCTGGGGCAACAACACCCACCCCCTGAGGGGGTGGGTGGCAGATCGGAGGGATAAGTGGAGGGCGATGGGCAAGGGGCCTAAGTTGCTGCTGGACACTCAGGCTGGGGCGCTGTGCTTGATAAGCACGGCAAGGATTTGGTTCCCTGCAGGCTTCTGTCTGTGCAAGGATCAAGTGGGCCGCTCCCGAGCACCGTCCACGCCTCTTTCACCCAATCCCTCATCGCGCATTGACGACTCACGCTGTGTACTTCTCGCACTCCGGCACATCATCCACGCCACTGGGCAGGTTGTCACACCACCTGATACGGGATGGGTTCAAAATAAATGTTGATGATGCTAACAAGAACAGGACTGCCAAACATGCATCGATAGTTCTGTTGTGTGCTTGAGTGGCTGATTCGCTGCTCGGGCGGCAGGTGAAGCATCATGCTGCACCTGCCGCCCGCTTCTCCGACAAACACATAACAGCCACCATGACCCAGGTTGGTAGAGTCGGACTCAGCCACTACATGCACACTCACCAGCTAAAGCATTCTGGTTTATCGCTGTTGTCCTTCTTCTCGCAATACTCGCTGTAATCTGGTTGCAGAGGGAACGGATGCATTCAAGTGGGTTGCTGGGCGGGTGGGTGCAGCACAGAAGCAGCGGACTGCAAGAAGCAGCCACGGGGATCGAGCACCCCCCTTCACCCCTCGCACAGCGGGGCTCATCGCCCTCGTCGCCGCACTCCCACACCGCGGAAGACGCACCAGGGACGAAGGGCAGAGGGGTGCGGGTCCACTTGCGCGTCAGGTACGCCGGCACAGGCGGTGTCGGCGGTGCTGGTGCAGCCGCCGCCGGCACGGGGGGTGGTGGCGGGGGTGGTGGCGACGGAACGGGCACCGGGTTGACCACCACCGGCACAACTACCACCGGATTCGCCACGGGCGGCGGCGGCGGCGGAGGAGGTGACGGCGGCGGCGGGCTGGGTAC